GGAAGATGCTAGAAAAATTATGAAGGGTCAGGATTTCATAAATAAAGTTCTTTACTTGGACAAAAAAATGGTAAAGCCTCAAACTAGTGCCCAGATTAAGAAGCGAATAAGTCATAGTGACTGGGACGTGGATAGGATAAATAAAGCATCTCGCGCAGCTGGGCCTTTGGCGAAATGGGTCGAATCTGTTATTACGTTTTTAAATATATTAGAAACGGTTCAACCGTTGGAAAACGAGATTGAGAAGCTGCAGGAAGAAACAAGAATTGCGGAGGATCAGTACAATGAGCAGAAGGACATCATTTCTGAGCTGGAGAAAAAATTAGTACAATATAAGAATGATTATGCCCAGCTAATTAGCCAAGTGCAGAGCATTAAGCAAGAAATGGAAATTGTGGAAAATAAAATAAAGAGATCTATTAACTTGATTGATAATTTAAAATCTGAGAAGGAAAGATGGTCAGAGACATTCATCAATTTGGAGGCAGCTTCCGAAACCTTTGTGGGGGATTGTCTCATAGCAGCAGCATTCTGTGCGTACATTGGCTTCTTTGAACATTACGAGAGACAAAAATTGAAGAAAACCTGGGGGGAAATTATAAAAATGCATCATATAAAACATAGACACGATTTGTCGTTTATAGAATTTTTGTCTAACCCCTCGGAGAGGTTGCAGTGGATAGCGAATGAATTGCCGAGTGATGAGTTGTCCATAGAAAATGCCATTATTATAAAGAGCTACATAAGGTATCCCATGATTATAGACCCATCAGATCAGGCTAGTACCTTTTTGCTTAACCAATATAGGGAGAAAAAAATAGTGAAAACTTCCTTTTCTGATAAAAATTTTATAAAAAATTTGGAGAGTGCACTACGATTTGGGTCCACCTTGCTCGTATATGATGTGGAAAAGGTGGATGCCATTCTGAACTCTGTGCTAAATCAAGAAACGCACAAACAAGGGGGCCGTTTATTAATAACGATAGGAGATTCAGAAATTGATTACTCTCCAGCATTTAATTTGTTTCTGACGTCGAGAGATGCACATTTTCAGTTTACCCCAGATTTGTGCAGCCGAGTGACGTTCGTGAATTTTACCTTAACACCATCTTCTCTGCAAAATCAGTGCTTAAATATGATCCTAAAAAATGAGAGACCGGACATTGATAAGAAGAGGTGCGATTTGCTAAAACTACAAGGCGAATACAAAGTGAAGATACGAGAGTTAGAAGAATCGTTGCTTTTGGAACTGTCCAATGTGAAGGGGAACATACTGGATGATGATAATGTGATAAGCACAATGGAAAAATTGAAGGTACAAGCAGCGGAAGCGTCTAGAGAAGTAAGCATAGCCGAAGAAGTGATGGTAGAAATTGAAAACGTGAGTAACCAGTATTTATTTCTAGCACAAGGATCCGCGAGGATATATTTCATTCTGCAACATTTAGGTAGCATCAATTTTTTATATCAATATGATTTGAACTTTTTTTTTAATTTGATGAAAGATATGTTACGTAAGGAGGAACTCTCCTCAAGTGTGAAGAAGAATAATGATTACGAAGAAAGGTTGAAATGTTTAGAAAATTTGTTATTCTCTTTGACGTACAACAGAGTCGCTCGGGGGTTACTACAAGAGGATAGATATGTTTTGGCCTTGCAGTTGTGTTACGTCAAGGGTGTTATAAATCCTGGCATATATATAGACCCAAACCACTTACACTTCTTACTGAAGGACCATTATGCTAGTCATCATGTAGATACAGCAGTACCCTCCGAGGAGGGGAATAAAATTGAAAAGGCATTATTGCCAGATTATACCGATGAACAGATAAGCACATTGAACAATTTGGTGAAGCATAAATCCTTTGCAAATTTAAAGAAGAGTATAAAAAATGACCAGGAGAAGTGGATCGATTTGATTCATTCCACTGAACCGGAACAGTTAATTTCATCCATAATCAGTGCCCCAAATTTTGGTTTGCAAAATGGGAAAAGTGACGAATCGGTGGAAGTTTTAAGTCGAAATGTAGATCCGCAGTATGTCCAGAATTTGAACAGCTCGGATAATACTAAAATATTCATGCAAAACGGTGCAAAGAAGGAAGAAGAAATTTTAGCCTGTTTAAAGGAGTCACTAATTATTAAGGCAGTGAGGCCAGACAAGTTAGACAAATGTTTTAACAAGCTTATAAATGTGATCCTAGGAAAGGACTTCCTGTGGATACCTGAATTATCGACTAACGAGTTTGAGAAATATGTAAAGGAAAATGCCAGTGGGAATATTCCTATAGTGCTGATAAGCGCCCCTGGATTTGACCCGAGCAACAAAGTGCAACAGCTGAGTGAGAAATGTAGAGTGTCCCTATTTTCCATAGCAATGGGTTCGGAAGAAGGCTACATCTCAGCAGAAAAAATCATATCATCCGCTCAAAAAAATGGAGGATGGGTTCTTCTAAAAAATATTCACTTATCCCCCAAATGGTTACATCAGTTGGAAAAAAACATACACAAAGCTACGACAAATCATAATTTTCGACTATTTCTGACGATGGAAATAAACCCTAAAATTCCTCCCAATTTACTACGTATATCACTGACTTTCATGTTTGAACCACCTGTAGGTATTAAATCGTCCATACTGCGAACATTTTCTTTATTTTTAGAAAACAGGAATTTAGAAGATCCGAAGATTGCTAGAATGAGATTGTACTTTCTTGTTTCCTTTCTGCATGCAATAATTTTGGAAAGAAGGAGATACACGCCCATCGGATGGACCAAGGGATACGAATTTGGTGACTCCGATTTAACTTGTGCTTTATCTGTTGTGGATAATTGGCTAGATAGAGCATCTACGAAAATAGGGAAGAGTGTCATTGAGCATATAGACCCTTCCAACATCCCTTGGGATGCCATAAAAAAAATACTAAATGAAGTGGTGTATGGTGGTAGACTGGACAATCTGGTGGACTCGAAAATTTTAGATACCTTCATTGAGCATTTGATGAATTCTAATTCTTTCGAAGCCGATTTTAGTTTAAATATTTGTAATAGTTCCTCCCAAAAAGATTTATTAACTTCTCCAGATCTGTTCAGACATTTAAATGATTACCTGAAATGGACAAGTAATATGAGTAACACTGATTTACCTGCATGGCTCGGCTTCGGAAAACAAGCCGAAGGGTTGCTAACAACCAGAACGAATTTTAGCATTTTAAGCAAGTGGAACATTTTGTATAGTAAGAGCTGTTCCGATGTTTATGAGCCATTGCCTCATGCTCCTCTGACGAAGGCACTAGGAGAGGAGAACAACGTGAGCATGGAGTTGTACAGAAGGGGGGATAAGCGGATCCTCCCCATGGTTTCCCCCGGTGACGATGATGTGACAAAAGGTGCGATCATGGATGTGGGCGAGGAAGGCACTTCCTCCTCTGAGGAGGGCGAACTGTCTGAATCGTCCACCGCAAGCAGGGTCACACATCGGTACTCACAGAATGAAACTGTCTTATTCATTAACGAAATTTTGGATAGCCTGCCTCAGTGCATTCCCGATGTGGAAAGAAATGAAGAAAATATGAGTAACGCCGTTTTTAGGTGCTTCGAAAGGGAGAACCACCTGTTTAGGGATCTTTTAAAAATCATTAGGGGGAACTTAAATCAGCTAAAAAGTGTGTTAGAGGAAAAATTAAAATACACAAATAAATTGAGAGCACTAGCTAAGGACTTAAACTCATTCAACGTGCCACCTGGTTGGCTTGTCGATGGAAATGCAACTAATTTGAATTTGACAAATTGGCTACGAGAGTTAATTAATCGTTTTTATCAAATAATAGTAATAACTACAGAACTGAACGAAAATAGGAAATCAAATATGAGCAAACAAAAAAGTATGAGCAGAGGAAGAAGAAGTAGTAAAGATCTTACTTTGGAAGCTTATCATCAGAAAAATAACGACACGATTACGGCTCATTTTAAATTGGACAAAAAATTGTCCATTCATTTTATATGGCTGGGTGGTTTATTTTACCCAAGGGCCTTTATTACAGCGACTAGGCAATTGTGTGCTTCTAAATTTAAGAATTCTCTGGATGACTTGGAGTTGTCAGTGGCCATTGGCCCACGCCCCGCGGATCTGCTCGATGATTCGGTTCATTTCACGATAACTTGTTTGTCCATCGAGGGTGCCCAGTGGAGCGACGTGGATGGGGTAAGCGGAGATGGGCGCTCCAGCTGAGCGCATGCGCGGGGTACGCGGTGCGCGGTTTGGCAATATCATCACCACGCGGTTGTCACTCAGATTTGTTAGCGCTGATTTGTTATCGCCGAACTACTTCCCCCATTTGTTGCCATTACGTCGCACACGCCTCACCACACGCACATCCTTTTCTCCTGTGCAGTGCCTTACCCTGAGCGATGAACTAGCCATCGACCTCCCCCCAGTAACCATTACCTGGGAAAAGAAGGAAATCTTGAATAAAAAAATAAGCGAACAATCCAACTCCAACTTTATGGAGTTGCCAATTTATTTGGACAAGTCGAGGAGATCTTTTATTGGCTTCTGGAAATTTCCGGTTTCGCGGGGAGTACTGCGAGAAAATTGGTACCAGCGAGGAGTGGCCATATTTTTATCCAAAACGTACTGACGGAGAGGGGGGGCTACACGACAAAGCGTGCTTAATTATTGGGCCCCGCTTCCTGTCACCCTTCGCAGGAACCTTTCCTACCGCCTTTCGTTCTACCGCTTCGTTCCTCACTCTCCATTATTTTGTAATTCTTCACACACGTAATGTTATTTCCTCAAGTGTGAGTTCCTTGGATGCACCCACGTTTATACTCATTTTACCTACTGCTTGAGGAACATTCACTTTGCAACAACTGGGGGGTGGTGCCCACCAAGAATGCGTCAAATGGATGGGATCATCACCAACATAGTAGTAACATATCTTTGCAGCACCACATGGAGGGCATGTGCCCTTCCATCACTCTTTTTTCTTTTGTGTACTTCATTTGGCGTTATTTATGCCCTTCAGGATGTGTTTCCTTTTTTCGTCTGCCGTCATGTTGGAGTCCATAACCACTGTGTTGTAATCACCTTTGGAGTAGTACGGCTTGTTCCATTTTTCTATTTCCTCTCTGGTAAAAAAATCTGCCTCCTTTTTTTTAATGAATACGTTGTTGCTCTTCGGGTTATTGTACTCGCTTATGAGAATCCAGGCGAGTCCAAGGGTCATTCCTATAAAAAAAAAAAAAAGTGGGGGAGTGAAGTGTGTGTGTAGGATCATATGAACTGATAGGCGGAATACAGCTGAACGTTGTAATGAGCACGTGGGGCTTAGATGCATTTACATATGATGCACATGTGGGATAGCACACACAGATTTGAAACGTGGGGATGCATTCGATGCGAGGTCCTTATTCGCACTCTGTTTTGGGGCTTACCAGAAAACCATACGCTAATCCTGAACGCAGGACTTCCCCTAAGCAACGCAGTTCTTTTAAAGTTTTTTACTTCCTTGGTAAGTTTGTCCTTTATGCTATTCATCGAGGGTTGGAAAATTGAGGTTAATTTGAGTTCACTTTTGGGGAGTAATTCAACAAACAACGGGTGTATTAAATGGCTTCAAAAAGGGTTGGGATCATATAACAAGGGTGATGATAAAACACGCAGAAGAGGAAAAAAAAGAAAAAAAAAAAAAAGTATAGCTACAAAATGGCGCAAATGGGCAAAGATAAGGATAGGGCGCGCAACGAAAATAACTCTCTTTCGAAATGACTGTGCGTAGTTGGAAAAATCGTTTATTAAAAAAGGTGCTAATTGGGTACAACTGGTGAAGGCGCCTTTGTTTAGAAACTCGCATGCTGCAGAGACGTGACACGTGCGTAGGGGAGTGATCAAACAGGAGGATAACTATGCATATACGTGCATGTATAACATATGTACACGGGGCAAATGCGTTTAGGCGGTGTAGAACTATTTTTGCGACGTTTTAACCCTGAGGAGTACACGGCTGTAACTTGTGAGCCATCGCAAAAGTGACGAGGTTAACTGCTCCTTCGAGGGTCACCCACTAAATTTGCATTTAAGTGGATCATTAAATGTGGCCACTCCTCAGGGGATAAAATTTTGCATAAATACAAAGTGACGCGTAAACATATATGAGGGCTTACATGTGTACAGTGCTTTGCTCCTCGATATGTTCTTTTTTGTGGGTTGCTGGTCCTCACGCTCGATTCGCCAAGCGGTGTTAAAAAAGAAATCTACACCTTTTTAAAATGCAGTAATGACACACAGGTGTGAAGGCGAAATAGATGATGTTTCTGGGATGGCACACAACCAAGTTGCTGTCGGGGACCAGGAAAAATGTAACTTTAGCGTTAGCAAGAAAATGGAGCTTCACAAAGGAGTTGCGTCATTTTGCAGCTAGCTACTTGTTAGAAGAGGACGTTGGGATTAACCATTTTATGAGCGACTTCTTAGGTGAAAATGGGTTCCATGGGGAAGAAACAAAAAAGGACCTTGTGTGCATCTTTAAATATAAATGTGAAGATTTTCACGTCTATGAAATTGGGAAAGATAAAAATGTTTTGAATTTGAGCTATGTTAGGAAAAGGGTGCAATGTGAACGTTGGAGTGACCACGCTAGTGGCGACACGAGAGACAGCCTGGAAAAGGTAGATGGCGGTGATAAGGATACACGAAAGGAGAAAATAATAGTCGAGAAACTTGGATCTGCGCAAGAGCGGGGAGACCACGATGGATGCAACATATCAATACCGGCAGATGGGGAGAGTAACTCGGCAGAAGAGAAAAACGAATGGATAAATTTTATTCTGTATAAGGTGAACAAGGACACACAAGAAGCCATTAGGGAAATTAGCAAAAGTACGAACATCCCCATAAAGGATTTTTACTACGCAGGTTTTAAAGACAAAAGAAGTGTGTCCACGCAAATCATTTCCACTAGCATGATTCACATTCATAAAATAAGGAACATGATGAACAGTGATGTCTCGAATCATAAAAGAATGAAAAATATACAAATTTGTAGTCTCGAAAAGGTGCACAAAAAAATCGAGTTAGGTGCACATAGTGGCAATCGATTTGTGGTAGTTCTGAGAAATGTACAAAACCATGAGGATTATTTAAGGCATAAATTGGACCAGATTAAAATACATGGGTTTATAAATTATTTTGGAATGCAAAGATTTGGAGTATATAAGAATACCTTCAATAAAGGGAAGGCCTTAATACGACGGGACTACAAAGGATATATAGGGCATGTCTTAGATCCTCACATTTTTGAAAATAAAAAGTTTTATGGAAATGTTACTAAAGACAATCTGACGATTTTCTTGAAAAATGCTTGTGACATATATAAGAAAAAGAACGCTACCTTTGCATTTCGTTATTTGTCTCACAAAACGAATAAGCTGCTTAAGAGGTGCGACGCCATTCCGCGTGACGAGCTGGGCAACCCGGCTAGCGCGAACAAGCACCTCTTTTCGTATCTGACCAATTCGGAGTACGAGGCGTACATCCTCCTGCGCAATTTGTACATGTGCGAGAAGAATAGCCGCGGCAGGCGAAGCGGTGATAGCTGTGGTAGCAGTCTAACCCTTTGCAGTGATGGACACAGCAAAGCGAATGAACTCGCTGATACGGAGAAGGGCAAACGTTTGGTCGACAGTGCACAGTATGACCCCGGTAGGAAGCATATTAACACGCCCGAGGAAGAAACCCATTTTTACCAGAACGAGAAGACATGCGTCAAAGGGGTGAGCATGGAGACAAGGAGATTTCACATGCATTCTTACAGCGCGAAGATATTCAACATGTTAACCTCATATCGGTTGGACAATTTCGGTGCCGCGCCTGTAAAGGGGGACTATGTCTTTGTGAAGGAGGTACAGTCGCAAGGGGGGGAAGCAAAAGCGCAGCATAATTACATAGCTGTGTTGTATGACACGGGGGAAAGCGACGGAAAGTGTAGTAGCGGAAGGGGTAGCAGCGGTGGTCATGGATCTCTCCACTGCGATGGCCCATTGAAAGGTGTAAACATTTATAATGTTGTTTTGCCCGTCCTGGGCAGCATGCCCCCCAGGCTCTCCTACCTAAACGTGTTTAAAAATATGTACAGAAAACATAGAGGAAGCCAAGTAAGACTCGTTTTTTTAGAAATATTACTCTACCTGATGTATACCCTCCATGAAGATGAGCTGTTTAGGGTTCACGACGATAAGGTCGCAAGTGAGTTCCTACAACATTTGATAAAAAGAGAAGAAAAGAAAAATGTTAACCAGTCCATTCGACTAGCTAGCGAAAATATATTAAGTAATGCTATTCCGATTAAACAAGCCTTACATACAATAAAGAAATTTGACAGTTACGTCAATTCGTTTGAATACGAGTATGGAATGACTTGTGTCTTTAGAAACATAGTCTCGCGGCCAGCCAATCTGTATTTCTGCTTCTGTCAGTATAAGGAACCAAAGAGGAAATTCCTGTCCGACTTGTATGCCGCCTCTAATTTTGAGGAAAATGAAAGTTCAAAGGGGAATGTACATGCCCATCGGTGTAAGGAAAAGGGAGTATGCAATAATGGGCACATGAAGAGCGTCCCGACTTCAGACTGTAAGTATAGCGAAATATCTGTACGTGGTGATGAAGCTGAACAGGCAGACAGGGATGTGAATGGCAAATATTCACAAAATGTGGATGCAAGGGGGTATAACAATACTTCCCCAGAGGACAAAAAGGAAAATATGAGCAGTGAACGTTTTCAAAGTCAAAGAAGCAATAAAGGAAGCAATCAAAGCAGTAAAGAAAAAATGAAAAAATGCGAGCGAAATTTGGGTGCCCTGATATTAAGCTTTAGTCTGAACTCCTCCTCCTATGCCAGCATGTTGGTGCGGGAGTTGTACGGAAAACGCAATGAACTCCTGGTTTATAATTTGATTAAAAATTGTGAGGAGTATGACAAAGAAGTTGGAATGTTAGAAAAGAAGAGATAGGAAACCACAACAGAATGAGGGAACCAAACGGAAAACACGAAAATATGGTATGTTTTTTTTTCCCCCCCTCGCATCATGTATTCGTTGCGCAAGTTAGAATAAAATGTTCTATAGGTTATTCGTGTGCTAGCTAATCTAATATTACTAATAATGAGAAAAATGTAGTAGAAGCTGCGCCCACATAGGGCAGACTTGTAATGATGTCTAATCTGTTTTTTTTATTGTCTTATATTTTCCGCTTCATACTAGCCCATGCTTCATTACGACATGGAACAAAAAAAAAAAAAAAAAAGAGCATATTCTTTTAAAAAAAAAGTGCACAGCGCGTCGATTTGTTTTGTCATTCCATTGGGAACGGCGTAGGAACACATTTGTACACATTTGAACACATTTGAACACATCATATGAGGAAGTGGTTTAAGGAAAAAAAAAAAAAAAAAAAAAAAGGACAGTTGGTGTACATGGGGGAGACTCGAGAAATTGTTTCCATGTAAGAAGATAATTATAAGATTGTAATATTAATTAAAAGGGTTCCAAAAAAAAAGGGGTCAGACAAATAAAAAAAATTATACTCAACGACATATACAGGTGCGTGCGTGGACATGCGCACTTGTATACACATGTTTTCTTTCATACATATGCGGGATACACAGCACTCCGTTGCGATGCCGCAGTTACGCAGATAGGGAGGTGTGTATGGGCAACACGCATCGGGCACGGTTACAATTCATTGTGCGCGCAATTTTGCCAGTCATGTGGGGAGTGTTCGGGACAAGGCAAAATTACATCAAACAGGGGACACGGACCATTGATTGGAATTAAATGAGGGGGAGGATCGTTGCGTCAGAAGAGTTCGTACGAAATCGGAGTACATCGCTCCAAACGGTGCATATCACCTGAACTCCATGAATATGTCCCTGAAATAATCAGTGAAGCGATCGAGCATGTTGGGGTCGTCGCATTGAGATTTCAGTATCCAGTTGATCGTATTTTCGGCTTTGTTGAAAATTAACTCAATAAAAATGTACTGCTTCGTATAAAATTGCGAGTACATGTAGAATTTGAGGCACTGATCGATTTCCCCAGAGGCGAGGGTTACAATGTTGTATTTTGATATAAATTCATCAATTGTTTCTAACTGTAAGTTGTAATTTTTTCTTAAAAATAGTTTTTCATTATTCTGTTCAGGCAGAATACTCCACTGCTCTTGGTAGTGTTCTGGGTTTATATTTTCTGCATCGACTAAAATATCATTTAATTTGTTCATCTGCCCCGAATTTGTGGGTTTCATCAATTCATGCGACTTTTTTTTCTCCAACTTTTTACTATTGGTGGGGCTACTACCAAGGGTGTTTGTGGGGTCGTTGTTGGTGGACCCTCTGCCGCGTGATTTTTTTACATCCCTACTACTTAAGGGGGCATTCATGTTGTTGATGTGCTTTGGGGCTTGTGCAGAGAGGTCGTGGTTGTTTCCCAGCGTGTTGCCTTCTCCATGGTCATAGGCGTGATCGTCTGTGCGACCACGCGCGTTATGCTTGTCCCCGCTGTGGTGACACCCGCCCGTGTCTTCATCGCCCATAAGGAGCATATCCTCGTTCATGTTGGGAAAGTTTCCACTGGTTCCGTTGTTATGGTGATTTGTGTGCTTGTCACTGTTGGACAAGGGGTACTTGCCAGGCATTCGGGCATCCTGCTCTGGGGAGTTGACGAAGCTTTCCCTATCCGTGTCGCTGACATGTGCAATGTTATTGTCAACATTGTCTACACCAGCGTCGTCCATATGAAGATGATTTTCATGGGTCCCCTGGTCTTCATTTTCCTCCGCGTCGTACATTCCTCCAAAACGTATTTTAGAATATTCCACAAATTTATATATAGGCTGTTTATACAGTACAGAGAGGGTGTTGAATTCATTAAACAATTTGTCGAGTAAAATATTTTCATTCGATTCGCAGAAATTTTTTACTAGTTTTTTTTTACAAACAATAATTTTGAAGGCTTCTTCATAATTATAACTTAGCAGTTTATAATAAAAATGCATTTTGTCCGTAAGTTCCGGGTATTTATAATTTTTTAAAATGTTGTCAAAGAGGGAGGAAATAATGACTACCATTTCGGAAGGTCTTCTGTATAAGACCTTCACACACGCCGTCAACAATTCCAGCATGAATAAATAGGAACAGTCGGTCAGATTGACATATCCTTCCAAAATGTAGGGTGCATTTTCTATGTATTCTGAATATTCCCCAAGAATCCAAATGTAAGATCTGATTCCATCATTCTCTATAAGTTTGTTATCATGTTTTATAATTTGTTCAATGATTACTTTTGTGTATTCTTCGTACTTTCTCAATATGTTTGCTAACATTTCTACCGTGGCGCTACAAATATAGGAACGGTTCATGGGGAGAAAGGACGAGAGGGCTAACTCCACTATTTTGGAAATTGCCTTTGGTATTTTCAGAGCTATGCACCCGATGGAGTAAATGGCCTTCCTGGCGATGTCCACGTTCTGGTCGCATATGTACTCGCTCAATTCGTTCGTTATCATGACCATGTTGTTCTGCGGAGTGTGGGTAAAGGACGAGTTCGCAATGAGAGTGTAATGTTTCCCAGGACGGGCCCCTCACTATGTGGGCACTCTTTCACACAAAAACGAGATTAGGTGAACAAAATGTATAGTGCAGGGGAAAAACTTCCCTATGGTGCTAAAAAGACACCATGAGAATGTGCACCAGTTATGAGGGGCACGGTAGAGCATAAACTGCACGGGTAGATGTTTCACCTTAGTGGCCACGGACACGAGGATATCCAACTTAATGTCCTTTATGTATGTAAGATCATTGTATCGAAAAAAGAAGTGCTTGTAATCATAGTCGAATATGTTGTAGTTCAGTTTATTCGCCTCGTGTAGTAATAAATTGGTATGTAACAAAACGATGTAAGAAATTTCGTAAGAAGAGGTGGAAATTAAAGTAAGTAAAGGATCTTTCATTCTTTGAAAAATCTGAATTTGTAAATTTGTATCATTGGAAGAGAAATTTAAAAAACATTTTAAACACGATAGAAATACTGCGGAGGAAAAATCTCTTATGTGATTTTCTAATATGTTCATAATGTCATACATTTCGTCTTCATTCTCTGGAATGTAGGTACTTACGATATTTAGAATAACACACTTTCCCCATTCGTTAAAGGTAGATAATTTGTTTAGCATGTTAAAAATGATTTCTTTATTTACTTTTAATCCCCCTTCATCTACCAATATTTCGTTCAATGCATGCACTGCATTTATTATACACTGGGAGTCTTTGTCTAGGAGTTTATTTTTCAAAATTTTTATGACATCGTTTTTTATACCTATCTGTGGGTTCATTTTAATCAGCTTGACACAACTAATTATGGCGATTCTTCGGACGTAGGAATTTTTGTCGTTCAATCCATTAAATAGAGGCCCTTCTATATATTCAAACAAATTATTAATGCGCAAGTTGCAAAAGCTTCGTAAGGCTAGCCCCCTTATAATTGGGTCGTCATCTTTGCTGTCCTTTTGCAGGGTGTTTATAGTGAGGAGGGACAGTTCCGAGTTCGTTTCTGTGGTTGTGGTGGGGAGGCATAGAAGTGTAATAAAAGGAGTGTTCCTAAAAATGCAGCAAATGGGATGCAGCTAACAAACTGCGGGACATAAATATTTTCTCGCGAGACGTAAGCAAACAACTAACCTGCGTAGTTATTCAGGTAGAGATATATCATTTTTTTCTGTATTATATCATTTGTGTTTGATATCATTATAATGTCCGGAAATAGCTTTGATACATCGACCCCGAGGGTCATGTACGCTATTACCTTCTTCAGCACCTCTCTTTTCTTTTCTTCATTTTTTTCTTGTGGGAGTTTTTTTAAAACTTCTTTTAGCTTGTTTATCTCGCTCTGTAGTAAGGGTGCGGGGGTGCAAACGTTATCCGTGTGTTGTGATTCTACCAACAGGTTAACATCGCAGAACACGCGTGTGTGTACGTGGACAAGCACATATGCTAGCAGCTACTGCTGCGTGTGGTACATGGCTTCAAGAGAACAAACACAAAAGAAGAAGTAAAATACAGTGCACAAGTAATTTTTACATTTTTGCTTTCTACAAAACATTGTGGAATTGGTGTATTTTTTTTTTATTTACTTGGCCAGGAGACATGTCAAAGGAAGTTGCAAGCGAAAAGACGAAAAGTGCTACTTGATTATACTTATAACAGCAAATAGGCGAAGCCGCGAAATTTACTTTGTACACATAAGTGGGTAGATATGTTCACGTATATGTGCGCTTCAAAAAGGGGATAAGTCCTAGGGGGTAGGGCGATAATTATCGCAGTCCTGCGGTTACATAGTAGCAGGGCTGCATGGCGGCATATAGTGACAGAAAAAAAGGGAGGCCGCGTGACCAATTATTAATATCCTGAGAACTACTTTAAATCAAATTAGAAAAAAGGGAAACAAAAAAAAAAAAAAAAAAGAAGAGGCCAAACTTTCCGTTAAGAGTGTGACACGATACCAGTTCGTATATCCTTGGTATTAAAATAAAGAAAAAAAAAAAAAAAAAAAAAACCAGAGGGGGGCAATTTTTTAAACACCAAACATCAACAAACACAGTTAACGATTTCTTCGACTGGCAAAAAGGAATTGTTCACCAATCGTTCTTTTGAGATTATCACTGAAGAGTATATTTTTCCTCCATTTGACCATAAAATTGTGTTTTAACGTATACTTTCAAAAAAAAAACACAAATAATTTCCTTTTTTTTTTTTTTCCCCCGAAGTGTTCATCTTTTCATATACAATTAGGCAGCAATGCTTAGTAACAGTAATGGGGATTAGATATTAAAAAATGGAAAACAAAAATCCGCATAACGGTCAACATTTGTGTTACTGTTTTTATGATCCATTTGGCTTAAATTCCCTTCCTTTAAAATGTTTGAAACATCCATATATATGTTGCCAAATGCGGAATAATTGAATTTGTTCATCTTTACGGTGAATGCGTGTGGCATAATATAAAATGTATTTTCTTTTTCTATAGTGTAAAATTGGAGGGGAAATGTTTCTATTTTGGGGGAATATTCTTACATTTTCGATTTCGAAATTGAGATAAAATGATGGAACAAAGTAGAGAGGGAAACAAATGAAGAGCAAACCAACTTAACTCATTTTGAAGCTTCCTAAATATTAGCCTACTGAGTAAAAAAAAAAAAAAAGGAATACACACCACTTAAAAGGGCAGCAATACAAGGAAGAGAAGTTGTTTGCTAACAACAGAAAAATGAGGCCAAATAGTGTAATTTTATTTTTATATATAAATTTATCATTTAAAAGGAGTTAATTTGTTGAAGAATTAATTTTAATTTTGAAAAACCAGGGATGTTTGAAAATGTACGTGGGGGGATATAAAGTACTCACTATGGAGGAGAAAAATCCGTATAACTGTAACACTTTAAGAATATCAAAAAAGGAGAGAAAAAAAAAAGAAAAAAAATAGATGTGCTGTTATCCTTTTTTACGTAACAGTTATGTAAGTAAGAATTACTTACATAGAAAATGTGGAAACGTTTCTTAAAACAACGTCGTACGATTTTTGAAAGCATGCACTTTTCCTTTTTAAATTCCTTTGGTTTACGCAATGCCAGGAAGAGAAGTATGTGATATATTCGCTTGGGTAAATGCGCCCGGGAGTAGGGTGGTTCACTCAACGCCGTTGTTTTGGCACGAAACATATTTCAACATTGCTACGGCAACGGCAAACTTATGGCCTTTAATTTTGTAAACAAATCTGCCATTTTTGTGTTGTGTACGAGGGGTTTAGAGTTCAGGGTGATAAGCGGAAAGGGGTGAACTGTGAAGAAAAAAGGGGAACAACAGAAACGGAAGAAAGTAGAAAAAAAATTCACATTTAAAAAATTGAAAAAATGACGAATGGTACTTTTTGTATTATACATATATACGCATATTTGTGCTTTCTTTTTCTTTTTACATCTCAATTGTTACCTTAAGGTGGAAATTGCTCAGTAACGCCTGTTTGGTTTCTGTTAAAATTAGCACAATTTTTATTCCAACTAAAAGGGGCTTTTTTCTGTATTGGGTTTGATCGCTACTGTTTTTTTTTTTTTTTTTTTTTTTTTTTTTT